TTGCTGAATGGCTGTCGAGCAGATAAGGGGCCTGGGCAGCCCCAGGACGCTCTTTAAAAGGCAAAGAGGTCTGACACGGAAGTTAAAAATAAACCCCTGCCTCATTTTCAGGGCTTGCTGCTGTTCAAGCAGGCTGGTAGGTGAGCCATGTTAGCAGCTAGTGTTTTCCTATCATTAACACGTGCACCCTGTCATCATTTTCTTCTTCTGCCCTGGTTTTTCGAAGGGGAGCAAGCCAGTCCCCGCCGCACAGGCTGACCATCATGGGAGAGAGGGAGAGCAGAGGGGCCGTGCTAGGAAACACCACTGACATCATTGCCTTTGCACTCGCATGACGTAAAAGTGATGAAAAGCAGGGTCAGTGTGTGGAGAGCAGCACTTTGCCCTTTGCTGTCCATGTTAGAGACCGAGGTCATCACCTTCCCCTTAGCAGTATTTATTCCAGAATGGTTAAATTTGGGCTGGCAGAGGGGAGCTTGCAATATTGAGTAAACGGCACAAGTAGGATACGCTCACCTATGTGCATTTAGCATGCTCTCAGGACTTTCCAGCGTGTCTGAGAATCGCATATGTTGCACCAGCTCTCTGGTAGTGAAAGAAGGAGCAGGCGCTGCGGGACAGCGGCAGGCCGGATCTGCCCGCCGGGCTGCCCGCCGCACCCTGCAACAGGGTTAAGTCTTCGCCTCGGCTGGTATTTGTTTGTAAAGCAGTTCCTTGGCTACTTCATGTTTTAACAAAGCTGGAAGAAAAGTTCCTGTGAGGAGGTGGAAAAGACAGAGATAATGTAGGGATTTGGGTTGTGCCAAGATAAATGGGATGCTGTGTCTAAACTTGACTCAGCTAAGACGTGTTTGAATAACAGAGTACCCAAAACTCATGAGTTTGCTTAAATTATGAACTCATATTATTTTGCAGGTATTGCATCCTTCCGCTCTTTCCCAAATCCTTCCGCACAGTGTCAGGTCCTCGTCCCGTCACTACTTCAGCCCTTTTTCTCCGCTCAGACAATACGCAGTCTCCCCAGGCAGGCACAGCTCCCCTGAGCCGGCTCCCTCTTCCCTGCCTCCAGCTTATGTTTGATCCCCACCTCCAGCCCCTTCTGGACTCCCCTCCCTCCCTCTGCCCTCCAGCTCGCTCTGGCATTTTGCAGCAGCACCCCGTCCCTGGCTGCGGGGCCACAGGGGCTGCCTCCACCAGCATCCCTACAGGGCTCCCTGCCCCTTCTTCTGTTCAGCTGCTTGTGCAAGGAGCTTCTGGTCTTTGCTTCTTTTCAGATATCTCTTCCCGATGCTGTCCATGGGAAATGCGTAACCCGTCATCCCAGATACCCGTAGAGATATATTGTATTCATTTGTCTATGTCCCGCATTAAAAAACCCTTAAAGAGGTGTTTATACCTGCTCTTTCATATCCCTCACTCATGTTGAGTTTCATCTCCCTCCATCTGCGTTTTGCTCCATCAGCAGGTTTTCTTTATTTAATAGATATGATCACTTCCGCCTACCCATTCGTAGGTCCCTTCCTGTGTCACTTCTGTGCTTTTTTTTGCACAGCAAAATCCATACAGACATTTCAAACTTTTCTTATTATTCACACTCCTACAGCTGAGTGCTGCCAGGCTGATCGTCCTGTTACTGGGGTCATTACAGCTGTGCCTGGCCTCTTCCTACCCACCTCTGTGTCCTCGGGCAGTGACAGGCTTCTTCGGGCTGGACCCTTTCCTCCTGCCTTGGAAACGTGAGACATCCTGTGGTGCAGGTTCAAATAAATAGCAATTCAAAAATTTCCTGTTGTACTCACAGCAAGCATTTGGGGTCAGGTACTCTCTTAGCTTCATCCTTCTTCCCCAGTTCCTTTTTTTGTTAAGCTTCTTTAAAGTATCTTTTTAAAAACTAAGCTAGAAACTGTTCAGGTTATTTCCTTCTTTCCGCATTTGTACAGTATCTAGCAGGAAAAAAAAGGGTTTGGTCTTCTTTGGAGCTTTCAGATAATGCTGTAATTCACATAAGGAGTATTAGATTTCATCGCAGCTGAGGTTAGTTTTTCATCTTTAGTTTTTGAGGAGAATGACTAACAGGCTTTGATACATAATCTAAATCACTTCAGTCCAAAGCAAATTTTCGTAGATGGGTTTTCACAGCTCTGAAAGCTGTTCCTGCAATCCAAGTTGATCGTGGTCGGATACGAGCAAAGGTTAAGTGGTTTTTGGCACCTGCAGCTCTGTGGATGATATTTGGCTGAGCGTCACTGGAATTTGGACTCCAGGAGTGGGTGACTTGGATGGGGGGCAACTCTGGTGGGAAACTTCTGCAGCAGCTATTTCCTTAACGCGGCACGCAGTTCTGCGGCATCCTGGTGATGCTGCCACCCTGCGCAAAGTCAGTTTGGTAATAATGATAATGAAATAAGAAGTAAGAGTAGAAGTGAATCCTGTATTTTCTGTACTCAGCTCAGAAACGATGTGCTTGGTAACATTTATCTTTAGTGTTGTTGAAAAATGTTGTTTTATAATTAACTCCTTATCATGAGGGTCCCCTGCTGCTTGGGGACAAAAGCTGGAGCCTCATTGGCAAGAGGCGAGTCCAGAGCCGGCTTTGCGCCACCGTGTTTGCAAAGAAGCATCAAACCAGTTCTCTATCTGCTCAAATATTTGATGCTTTCTTACAAATCCTGGTATGTACAGGCACTGTAAAACACTGCAGTAATGAAATGCAGGTTGTATCAGAGGAGGAAGGGAAGCAATGTCGTTTCGTTTACCATGTAGCTATGGAAATGGATGCTACCTCCCCTGGTAACAGGCGACACACTTGGTTTCAGTGGAGGTGCCTAAGGGAAGCACATATGGATGTTGAACTAAGGAAGTGTTGACTCTGTATTGAATTTCTGGAAGAGAAAACACCAAGGGGAAGGAATTAGTAGCTATAAGAGAGCAGAAGTGAACTACGAGTGTTTTATAACCATTCTCTAGTTTCAGTTATACATTAAAAGTCTTGTCAGCTACCCAGTAGCAAGGTGTCAGTTTACCTGTTAGCAGGGTTACTTGCCATTATAGATGTTTGCTGACAGCGGGGGGAAGGCAAGGAGGAAAGCTACTCGCTGACTCTGTTAGCTCAAACACATTACCTTCTGGGATCCTGATCTTGCAGCCATTAAAATCAATGGGAGGTATTAAATTAAAGGTGACCTGCATGTGACCCGCTTTCTCAAGAGGTATACATATTGATAAGAAATTTAGAAGAAATGTTTTTTATTTTTTTTTATTTTGGAAGGAAAGGTGGGAGAAGGGGGAAGATTTCAGCCTGGCAACCAAAACTGATGAAAAATAGCAGAAGTAACCTGCTGCTTGTTTGCAGGATAGCAATGTGAGCTGCCCTCTTTGCCTTGGTAATGTGTTTCCTTTCCACATGATGAGAGTGCGGTCAGCCTCTGATGGAGTTTGGTCCTTATCCTTTGGCTCTCCTGAGCCTGCCAGCATGAGTGACAGTCAATAGGTTTAGCCATGCTGATATTTGTTTGGAATAGGAGCAAAACCACCAGGATGTTTGATGGTAACGATGCTCAGTATTGATAATA